TGTTTGTCACTGTTATTGACAGTATCCAGCTCTTTTCTGTGGAGGATAATGCGACGGCGCGTTCCAACAGGACAGAAGGGGAAGGATGAGGTTAAAGGTTGTGTGTTAGAATAAATTCCTCTAGATAGTGAAGCATGTTGGTACTGTAGGACCAGTAGGTCCTATTATGGACTTGTGTTTCTTCCAGAACTGAGTGTCCAGGATCTGTATTTGTTCTGGAAATGCCCAAATGGTCCTAACTGAAGAAAAGCAGGAAAAAGCAGCAGACCTGGCACTCCCTGGGTATATAGTAGGAGCACATAAGACTCTGTTGTACCTGATCATGGGAAATGGGACTATTGGGTATTTCTCAGAGAGATGGGTGTGGCAGAGGGGTGCCCCATGGAGCAGTGGTCTCGGGGTCCTGGATTTGTAACTGGAAGGATGTGGGTTCAAATCCCAGGTGAGAATCTGCTGTTGTGTCCTTCAGCAGGAGTTCTTCACCCAGACTGCTCTAGTAAAATGCTGTTGTAGGAATGGCTGTAAATGTGTATTATTGTGGATAATTAACCAAACAAACATGCAAGAGCTGTAGCCAGTCGATCCTAGTGCTTTTTCTCAATGCTGACATAGCTTTGCACATGGTCACTTCTTTACACCAAGGGTGGTGGGGATCTGGAACGAGATCCCCAGCCAGGCTGTTGAAGCCGGTGCCCTGCATTCTGTTAAGAAGCAGTTGGATGTGATTCTTAGATCACTCTGCTGCGGATTAACCAAACAAGCTAGAAAAGCTTCGTGGCCTTCTGTGGGATGTAACCTTGAGGGTGTTGTAAAACGTTGTCACTCGCTGTCTGCAAGGTCACCTGTTCAGATAGCGTGCAGTTGGCCCCGACACGTTCTTCAGAGGACTGATGTGGGCTGTGTGCTGGTCTCAGAAGAAGAGCCCGGTACTGCTTCTCCGCTGTTTATATAAAGCTCAGCCTTGCTGTGCTGGAGCTTCTGTGCTTGGCACAGCTGACCTTAGCTCGCAGCCAAAACACACACTCTCTGCCTCACAGAGATTGTGGCTCTGAGGCGCAGCCAAGAAGAGTCTCATCCGTGTTTATGCCTGCTGTGAGTGGGCAGGGCAGGCTCTGCGCTCAAGACCTTTTATGTCCGCAGTGGAAAAGAGGGAATTTACAGTTTGGTTTCCACCATGCGACTGAATCGGAGCCAGGATCAGCGTTAACAGCCTTGTTCCACTCGAGCTCGAACAGGCCGTCTTCTCTTTCCCAGATGCACTTCGCTGCCAATAAAGTTAATTGCACCTGAAGTGAACCCTCCCCCCCCCTTGTGCAGAAGAGCACATGATGAGCAGCTCTGCAGCATGCAGTGCAGGTCACAAACAAGAGCTCAATGCCGGAGCTGCGCACGAGCACTGCCTGCCCTCTCAGACACCACGGCATGACTCAGTGCTGGAATTCATGCCGTGTCTGTGACTTCCAGGAGTCTGGAGCTGGGAAGTGTTTAGCCAAGCTCTTTTCCTTTTTTATTTCTGAAATCAGCTGTTTGCTGTCTGGGACAAAGCCGGTTCTTGTCTTCGCTGTCTGCCGAGTCACTCTGCTACAGAGAGCCTCACGGGGCAGGGGGCCAGCTTTCCTGCTCTGGGAGATGCACGTGTTGTCTTGCAAAAAACAGTTCTTCTTTCTTAATTCCTGGAATGCGGCACAGGATTGGGAGTTGTGTCCATGCAGAAAGGGAGAGAGAGAGGCTCTGCACTCATTGCAGTGCAGACCCTGCACTACTGTGTCTGTATCGCAGTGAGCGCTCCAGAAATGAGGTTTTGATCCAAGCTGCAGTGGGAAGGATGCAGCTGGGCGGGGTACTGTAGATCCATCTGGAATCCATGTGCGGTGCCACTGTTCAGTCGGCTGCCAGTGGAATTCTGGGAAATGTAGTCTTGTTCAGCTCAAACTGTGACTTACACTTTGAAGTGCAGATGATCAAACCATCGGTTGCCAAACTCAGTCCCAAGTGAAATCTCAGCACTGGCCCTTACAAACAGCCGCCTGTAGAAACTTCGGGCCATCATGTACTTAAAAATTGAGCTAGGAGAACAGGCTGGGGTTTTAAGTGAATCTGCACCCTAATTTGTTATATTATAATAACGTCGTATGCAATGTTTTATGTATAGTGTGGTTTTTACTTCAAGTTTTAACCTTATGATCCACAGAATCTTGCAAAATGCTTTGTTGTTTATGGGCCACGAGCAAAAGCAAACCCTCCTAAAAAAAAGGTAGAGTATCAGAGCGCACAAAGAGCTGTGGAAGAAACCATAAGGGCATTGAGTAATGGGTTCGAGTAGCACCTCAGCCTCCTTCTACATGTACGCGATGTAGACAGAAGACTTCTGACTTCCGAGAGGTGTCCTACCACAGGGAAGAAACTGAAGAACTGGGGCGCGCACAAGCTGCCGCAACAAGCTCTCTCTTTACACCAAGGGTGGTGGGGGTCTGGAACAGCTGCCGAAGCGTCTTTCAAGGGGTCGGCTAGATGAGAACCATGGGTCAGTGAGCCACCTAGTACGGAAAGCTCAAGGTGGGCTGAGTGGCCTCCTCCCATAGTTCCCCTGTCTTATGCCCTTCTGCACACAAGGCCATGTTGTTGGAACCGACACCCTGCCGCCTTTCATGAAACGACCTCCTCCTCACCCCTCTCTAACCCCTTGCACTTTTCTCTCCTGAAGATGGGATAATCACGCTGACGGGATTCCGGATGACCTTGCTGCCAGGTACCCGTTGTCTGTGGCGTCCAGGCCCTCTCTCTCCGTCCCCCCTGTTGTTGTTGTGGTTGGCGTCTGCCCACTTCCTGCTCCCGACTTCCCCTCGTGCTGCCTTCGCTGTCGGCGCCCCCCGGGGGGCCCGCGCGGTGCCGTCTCTCTGTCCCC